GAGCCTGCAGGAGTCATGGGCGGGATGTGTGGGGTGGGGGGTGGGGAGGTGTGCTCCGCGATGAGGAAGCTCGGCTTGGAGACAGCCCAGAGGCGGAGATGGTCCCAAAATACGTTTCTAGYTCCCCTGCCTGCTGCCTAAGGACACTACAGATATAAAACTCAAAAAAGTTGATTTTACATGATACAGCCCCTTTAATTGTCACAAAAAAATCAGTTTTCAGAGCACCAACATCATCAGTAGCTCAAATGATGAGGTTGTAATTTCTGCTCTATTTAAATTATGTTTGTCCCTTTTAATAACACTGTGACTTTAGCAATCCATAAGTTAAATATCTTATTTTCAGCTTTCTATCTCTACTGTCTTCTTACTTATCTCTTTCGAAACCTTATTAAAGTTCTCGCCTTACACCCCTGTCTTTGTTTCGATCCCTCTCTCTGTCTGCTTCAGGGGATATTAATTGATGATTATCTTGTCTTACTTAGTAAGTTTTCAAACTTTTTTTTATTTAACACTCTCAATTCCCCTATCTCTTTTTCATTCTAAGGCCATCCTTTCTCTCAGGCAATGGGAGTCTTATCACTTAGATATGTGTTCAGACCTATAGTTCAATTTGATTTCTTGTATTAAAGGGACAGAAYAGAGAAAAGATTTGTTACAGAATTGACTATGTTAAAAGACAGGAAGCCTGGCTCTTAAGGAGCAATAAAAAGATGAAGCCAAATGGATTCTTTGTTAGTGTGAATCAGCTAAACTGAACAATGCTAAAAAAARTGTGTGAATGGATGATGGTAAAAAGGTGAAATAGAGTAGGGTTAAAAGTAAGGCAGAATTTAAGAATTTTTAGTTCTTAATGTGTGTTATTAACACATTCAGTTTGAAATTACTGGCGTCTAATAAAGGTGTGAATTAAATGCAATCCTCTGTTGTATGAATAAACTATCCATAAACTGTATTTGTGGTCTGAAACCTCTTAAATAATTTTGATGAAATCACAATGGCATACCTCTGTTGGGTTTAGTTTTATTAAASATAGTTGTTTGACTGCTTGTTCTTTACAATAATGGAGAAGAAACTGAATCGTTGACCGCATGTCCAGCAGTTATTGGGTGAGAGATCACCARTCCACCACATCCAATGTGGTTCTACATTTTGCCCAAGTTGGATAGTTACAATCTTTAAAGTGTCTCTTTGCAGATAATTGTTTTGAGTATAACACAAACTTAAATGTATTTTTTATTAGACAAGTCTAAAAGACATGAAATTAATTGGAGCGTTCAAATGTTTTCATAACCTTAGTTGAGTAACTTGTTTCAAATGGAGGTGGAAGCTGAAAGTAAAAGTATTTGAAATGAAAAAAGCAAAATAAAATATTTTTATTCCATTTTATCACACTTGCAGTTACCTTTATAGTACATAGTCACATCTTCTTGTGAAAAAAATGTGCAGTGAAGGTGTGGTTTGTGGTGATTTAAACAAGTTAATCTGACTAACCTGGCATCACAATTGTCATGTTTCAAGTAGAAATTAGTTTTTACCCACCAATGTTTAACTKAGATATCAGCTAAAAGGTTGCAGATAAAATTTCTTTAATGGATTAAACTTGAATTACACTATAATAATGGCACTTTTGTCATCACTGTTATCTCACACAGAATTAAAATTTCATATTGATGAGGATAATATAAATGTTAAAAAAATGTTGATAGAGTTGTCAGTTATGCAATCTTCTYATTTAGTACATGCATCCAGAGATACGCAGATGTGCATCATCTTTGTATCACACCAGATACAACACAACATAAAAACACTGACTGAATGAGTGAAACGGGGACAYACACACTCTGGGGATTTAGTGTGTATGGTTTTGTTGTTACTTGAATTTGTCTTTGATATTTAGAGTTCATGATTCATAAATGAACTGTTACACAAGCATAACAGAAGACTTGGATGTGTGTGTCTTTAAAAGGTCAGATGTTTGTGTTTGACACCAGACATGTAACAGCCATGCCTAACAACTAAAATACAGCTAAGATAAAAAAAATGGATATAAAAAATGTACCTAAGTWAAAAAAAAAGAAACATATAGAGGAGACATCAGTACAATGTATGCCTGCAGTAGATGTGTAATACAGTATTCAAAACTGCTGAATGCAGCACCTCTGAGCTGTGAGCCAAGTCTCACCCACACAAAAGATTTTACAAGAACTGTAATTCTCATCAGTCACAAGAAGAGCTCTGTCATTTGGCTTCACCTGTAGCTCAGAGAAATGTGCGAGATGTATATCAGTGTTTCATCAACAGGAGTGTTCACTCGCCTGAGTGCTCAGGACTGAACCGAGACACACATGGCCGAATCCAATAAAAATCGACTTCCTTCTGATTCCGTGTTACAAAGAGTCATCATAAACAGTGACACATACGGCCTACTTGGGTTAAAGATTATTATCCTCAAAATCATCAGCTAATGAGATGTCAATCAAAAAATAAAAAAACTAAGAAAAAGGACAGCAATAATGTTGTTTTTGGATACTTTTCAGAAATCATTTCTAGCCAACCAGCAATGACAGAAATTATTCTGTTTGTGGATCATTCTGGAATGTGCTTGTTAAATTACTTTTTGCTTTCACATCACACACGTTCTTACCTTCATATACAGCTTTGAAGCCTTGTGCGCTCACTGCAAAGTCTGTTGTAAACCACAGGGCTARTATGGATCCACTGCTGACTATAGGTGAGGGCAGCATGAACCCCGACAACCTGTAAACCAAGCATACAGAACAAAATATAATTACAGGAGGATTGATAAACACATGCACTTAAAATATGAACAGGATTTATTTTAAAAATGGCATTCTGTGAGTGTTGATTTATATTTTGCGAAGACAAATATTCAGGGTGGTCTCAAGTTAGATATTTTGGCTCATAATTTTTGTCAAAAAGGTAAAAACTGATACATCAGTTGCCTTGGTGACTCACCGAGTTTGTTTTTTCAAACTACATGAAGACTACATGAATGAATGGGTGATTAACAGGTTTCTGCAGAACATGAAGAGGTAAATCAATCACTGAATCAGTTGTGTTGGAGCAGGGAAAAAAGTAAAGCATGCAGGATAGGGGTTCTTGAGGACCATGGTGGGACACCACTGAGCTAGACAGCTTGATCTGAAAGCCTGTAGAATCATCCCCCGTAGAGGTAACACTGACATGTGTGTCTTTAGAGAAGGAAACAGTCAACTGGATGGACAATAAAACTATAAAACTGCGACTGCACAATCATACATCACATAAGTGAAAAAAGATGCCTTACTAGACAGTCAAACGTGAGATATTAAGATTTAGATAGCAATGGAATGCGAAGTTAAGTAGTTCTTCAGGGCAAGTGGTGATATAATAGGTTCATACTGTGCAACAGTATGCAGCAGAGAATGGTGGGGGAAGAGAGTGATGGAAGACGGTGGAATGAAGGTGCTGATGAAGGTGAGAAAGTGGAAGAAAAGTAACATCTCAAAAAATGAACCACAGTCCAGAGGCGCATTAGTTCTGAATGTCTGGACTCACAGTCCTGAATGTTTTATGAGTAACAGTGGATACCAAGAATGGAAATAAATAAATAAATGAGACATTCTTCAGTGAACTTGAGAAACAATATATCTCTGTTCAGATAAATGCTTTTTTTCCCTTTGTTATAAAAACAGCATCTGTTTGGCACTACCTGTAGTCAAGGAGCTCTAGTTGAGGAATTACAAAAAAATAAACACTGCAAACTAAAAAGTAAAAAAAAAAATGATGAAGAATAATTTAAAGGGATAAAATTTTAGTTCATTTTGCAAAGCAAAACAGATGCTGAGCTGCTAAAAATGAAAGAGTAAATATGAAAAAAATCCAAGCTAAACCTATTTTATCTATCTAGACTAAAACTCTTAAATGCTCATTATTGAGTGATCTGTTTAAAAGCTGACAATACGCTGTTGTTGGATTTTCATCTCTTGATCTTCTCTGCTGAATCCAGGCCTCATGTTACTGATTCTCTTTTTTTTTTTACACTGGGCCTAATTTGCAACTGAGAAATGTTGTTCTGGTGGCTCAGGTGGCAATAATTTAAACGTGGCAACTAAATAAATGACTAGATATCTAGACCTGAAATCATAAAGGACAGCTCTCCTTGCCTGTAGCAATTGTCTTTATTTCTGCTCAGCAGTTGCTGTTAATACTTTCCTTGAAGGCAAATGCTTGAAAACATGTTTGTGGAGACTGCTTTTGTTGACTAGCCCAGAGCTTTTGCACAACAAACTCCAAGCGCAGTAAATGTGGCTGCACAGACAGGAGTTTTTCCCCACTTTTTGTTGATAAAAGAAAACAGTACCATACATGATTTTACCTGTGATTCATCTCTGATTTACAAATGAAGCACTGAGTAAGAATAAACTATAAATAAATAAATGCTGGGCTTTGTCACACTTCTTTTAAACATGATCCATGACAAAAACACCAAACTTATAGCATTTTCTTTTTTCTCCTACAGCCAGGTTAGAGGAGAAATTTAGTGTTGCCATGAGACCTATTGGAAAAACAGCAATGAACAACAATAAATTACAGCTCAAGCAATAGGGTAAGGATAAGAAATGGAAAGTGGCAATAAACATTGTGAGAGTTGGAAAGTGTAGAGGAGAGAACAACAGTTTTATAAGTGTCATTAGGACTTTTTTGTTCCGAGTACTACATGAAACGACTGATCTATTTAAAGTGTGCATTAGCATCTACTTCTTATCRCCTTTACAACATCTATACCTGGCACAGAAATATGCTCCACACCAAAGTGAACAGAAAAAAAAGAGCGTGCACTCGGCAGATAATTRTTGGCATCAAGGGGCGGTTTGGCTGTGCTGCAAGTATTAGAGGAGTTTTCTGAGGCAAGAAGATACAGATGAGGCAGGAGGAGGTGAATAAGCTGTTGCCTCTTGTTGCAGCAGCAGAGAAATAATGCTTCCCTTCCAAATTGAGTTTAGAGAAAAAGAAGGCATGTTTAGGTAGCTTTTTTTTCAGAAAATTTTTTGCAAAATGGTATTTCATAAAAAAGTTATTTTAAAGAATCCTACTAACGGTGGTCATGATGTAYGATATTCTTCATGTCAAGGTATAAAAGGAAATTGTGTGCTGCAAACAACTAAAAATAGACAACAGCTAATGAAAGAAATTTTTTGACATTTGCAACATCTAAAATGATCCTCAAAATAATAAAATAAATGAATGATACAAAGGAGAATGAGAAAGACGTATATCTGTGAAATTCAAAAATAAATGCTACAGACAACATTGTCTACAACAACATAGTTTTAAGTCCAGGTGTGTGTGTGTGTGTGTGTGTGTGTGTGTGTGTGTACGGGTTTTTCATACAACGTGGGGTATTTTTTTTACAAAAAAAAGCAGCCAGGTGGGGACCGAAGTGAATCGTGGGGACCACTGTCAGGTCCCCATGGGTC